ATCCGTGAAAAAGTGCTAAGAAATCTACTAGGAAACGTTATTTTTAAAGTAAATATGTTTAATGTCTACGTTTTAAATGATTGTAGGTTATGTAAATAGGTTATTCAACTTTGTCTTTTCTGTAATAAAAATAATTATTAGTATAAAGTTTTACTATATAAATATTTCGTATTATTTATCCTGTCTCCTTGGTACTAATAATGTTATGACTTGGACCCTATTATAATGTGTTCATGATATAAATTTCATATACACAAGGTACCTATTTCTTTTGATATTTTTCTGACCCTGCGAATAAATAAAATCTTTGACTTATTCCTTTTAGCCTGATTATAATGCTAGAAAGTTGTATCTGGTTATAAGAATCAAATAGATACTATGATAAATTTATTTTACTTGTAGCCTTTTTATTTTTAAGTGTTCAAATATACATTTGTTTAATAATAATCATCCCCAAATGTGTTTTGTTCCAGTTCTTTAAATGTATTTACTAGGTTTTTATAGAAGTACTGATTTTAAATTAATAAAAATTTGAGCTGTAAGAAATATTTAAGATTTTTCAATTCTGTATTTTTCGTATTTTTATAGGAGTTAATAATCCCTTTAAGTAAATAAATGTAGTTCGGGGTCCTAGATGTTGGTAATTTGTGTATTGAATAATTTGTACATACACTAGTTAATAATTTAAACAATGTTTTTTCTGATGTACCTAATAATTATTTAAGGTTATCTTGTAGTTGAGGAGTCTAGAAATCCGCATATTCACACCACTCTGAAGTCTAGAATTTGACACAAATTTGAAGTTAAAAATAACGATCGTATTACTTGAAAATCTACAGATTTTTTTTCATTTTTAATCGATGTAAAAATTGGTAAATACATGATAAAAAGTAAAAGTTATTTCAAATAATTAAATATAACTTTGCAACTATATATTACGATTCCAACTATCAGAACTAGCCAGAACAAGAATGGTGCATTTCCAGACCCTTCAATTATAAGATTACCATTATTTAATGTGCAGCGCAAATATAAAAAAAACTACCTAAAAAATGCTGTTCCTGCTTTTATTACTTATGATGGGACTACTTCTCAAAGGAGACAAGAATGTGGAAAGTATTGCTGATACAGTTACCGAAGTTATCCACTAGGGGTGAAGTGTTAATCTTTTAGGAATATAGAAAATATTTTTTTATACCTAACAACTTAATATTTATTTATTGATAAGTTATAGATACTATGTATTTGAAATTCGAAGTAATCATTATGACAGCAGTGTTCTTCCTATTGTATTCGAATTCTAACACAAATAAAACATCTCATTAAATTTTTGTTAAAATTATTAATTTATTAATTTTACATTAGAAAGAAAATTAACAATACACACAAAATTATTTAAAATTAGAAATAAATACAATTTACACATTTCCCATTATTACACTTTTACTTACTTAATTTATTCATTTCTTATATTAACAATTTAAATTAATAATATAGTTCATTATTTAATTGGAACTCATTTTATAATTTTACTAATTATTTTTTTATATTTATTTGTGGAAAATTAAATATTAAATAAAAGCATAGGAATTGTTCTATTAGATAATAGCAGTAATGAAAAAATAAGTACGAAAATTTCAAATGTATAGTTTCCAGATTTATTATGAGTTTTTCATATTAATGTACTCAATAAGTAGGTTTATTATGTTCGCTTGTACACATCACAGTTAGCAGCAGACAGTAACAAACCTGACAACACTTCCGATTTCAGAAAAACATTACAACAATTTGTTTTACATTATATATTTCAATAATGTAATATAATAATCATTTATATTTATTTATGACAAGGTTTACTTTTTAAATAAAACTATATGAGCCCTGTCCCGTTTCAATTAGCACACTTCTCAAATTTATAGTGACTGTCACTACAAGAACAAATCATACATAAATCTGATAAATTACTTTTATTTTTTTAACCCTTTCACTTCCACTTTCATTAAAAAAATACCACTGTAGTAGATTGTATGTTTTCTTTGTTTATTTTAAGTAAATTAAAATTTTTTCATAGTATTTTTTATTACTCCAAGACATAACGTCCCTGTTCAGGCACATTACAAAAACAAAAATTTACTATGAAAATAATTTTTTTATAATATTAATCCTTAAAAGTAATGCAAATAAAGTAAATAAACCAAAAAAAAAAAATGTCCCTCTGGAGGGACAAATACACTGAAAGGGTTAAATATTTACAAATTTTCATGAGTGTTTCATCACCTTTAACTTTGATAACGGCAATAATTCATTAAAACATTGTATTTACAAGTTCTTGAAAATCTTGTGCAGGGAACCTACTCCATATTTCTAGAATACCCATTTGCTTTAATTCTGGCAGTGATCTTGTGGGTGCTGCACGCCTCTGCTTAAAAATTATCACCCCATATATATAAAAGCATCTTTATTAAATGAACAAGAAACTAAAAAAAAAAAAAAAAATAAGCATTATTAAAAACTACAAAAAGTGCATAATTTGAAAATCCATATTCAAGCTTCAGATTTGTAAAATTAAAAAAATTCCAAATACACATTTAACTTGTTCAATTATGTATTGAATAAAAGGTCTGTTCCAGCAATGATCAGAAACAAACCACTGGGTAGTACACAAGTTTGCAGTTCAATAAACTACTGTGCAGAATCCTGATGTCAGTAACTCATTTCTGAGCATTGTTGGAACAAACCTAAAGTAAATCGAAACCACTTAAAAACAAGCACAACATTTATACTCGAGCATAATTTTTAATTCCTATCAAAATTTTTAATTACTGAATATTTTGTTCTAGTTATATTAAAATTTAAAAGTTCTTACTCTTCATTATAATTATATTTTTTAGTTTCCCTATATACCTACATACTATCTCTAACATTTTACAAATTTTATGCCTAATTAAAGATTTCATCTAGCATTGCAGCATTTTTTAGAATATTTGAGAGAGCATAGTACTAACTGCCAGTTAAAACTTTATTTCTAGTATTTAGTTTAGGTAACAGAGACAACGCTTGGAACAGAAAATACATACTTTTGTTAATTCAGAATTTTTAAATGTTGTTTTATATTATAAATCTTTCTAGGTATCCTATATCATTTTTTTTATAATTTTCAACCAAAACTGTTTAAAAATAAAAAGTTTAATAAAAAAACACCCATTATATTTAATGAGGTTTATGCTCTAAAACTCACTGTTCTTTTAATGGCAGATTTTTTAACCTCTGAGTAAAGTTAGGTGTAAGTATAATCTATAGCCTAATCAGCAAGTAGTTACTTTCAACTTTATTCAGAGGTAAAAACCTGGCCTTTAATCTTAATATAATTGTGGAGGATGGAGACTACATTTGCTAGGGATTAGGGAATAACGAAGATCTGACTACTATAATGACACTTGCTAAAAACTGTATAAGTTCTATGTACATGCAGATAGAACCATGTGAATAACTTTAGTGCTTTGATAACACAACATTGATAATTAACAGATGAACATATTGGTTACAAAAACAAATTAAATAATATATTCTACCAATCTCATTTTTTCCAAAAAGTACAGTTACAACCTTGTTATTCTTTGAGATGTATTTACTACTGATACTTATTAATAAAAATAATAATAATTGATATAGGTACTTACTGATCTTTGGAAACATATATACTCCAGTCCAGTGAGACTTCATTATTCTGGTATAATGCTATTTCACAGAAATGTTTGTAATTCCAATCACTATGTATGGATTTGATTATAGTAGGTATAAAACTAAATGTTTATTGAATATCTTTAATCTGGGCAATGAAAATCACAAAATTCACTTTAAAAATAATAAGCTTCAATCTGAGTACCATAGTTAAGGTCCACTTTAATTATCCTTCCTCCATGGTCCACTTCTTCATTTTATAATCAGTAACCCACTGTATTGCTGTTTTTGCCAAAGCCAAAGGTAATATTTGAACACAAAACAAAATCAGCTATTTTTTATAAACACCCCCATTTCACTTATTTAGTAGCAAGTCTCTGGCAGCAACTTGTAACTTAATTGGAGCATATTTATTAAATCTTGAACACTTTTTTTGATCGTATAAACTCACACATCAGTGCAGCTTGTTTAAAAAAAAACACTTATAAGCAACCATCAATAACAATAAACTTATTTGTTGACCATTAATTTTTTCATCTGTACTCCTTCTGATAGTTTTGTCATTTTTCATTTCATATAAACTCGAATTTTCACCATAGAAGAACTATTTTTATGATTGCACTTTTTTGACAGATAAAAAGATTGCCGCAATTTTCCGCCGTAACGACACTAGCGAACCTAGCGGATTGTGGCTAGGAAGTACGATCGGTTTTGGTATGCTTTTTTCAGGGAGTTGAAACACCTTTATAGTACGCCGTGGTTTTTGTACAGTTTTGAGTCCGAAGTTTGTTGGAACATCAAATCTAGACTGCGCAGAATCCCGACAGTACGCAAACCGATTTGCTATTGTGTTGGAACAAACCTTACGTATACTGAATCACGTGATCAAAGATTTTTTACATCTCAGATGCATCCGATGTGGATTCTCAAACGCGGCATAAGCAGGGTCGTATTCAACCTCATTGTTACACACTCAAGACATATGACATATATATGAAAAATTGACACTTATGATAAACAGGTTAACCAACCTCTACAAAAATAAACGAACTAAATATTAGATTTGCCATTGTGCGAATAGATGTCGCTACTTGTATATTTGACACATAGGGCCAAGAACGATGAAATTAAAGTGTTATAAGGGGAAGTTCTAGTTAAGATACCGATTTTTTCAAATAAATATTATCGACGTAAGTTAGTGTATTAGAAATATAAATTAGTGTTGTATTTAGTACAAATGAATTAAGTTATAAAATGTAATAATGAAAAGTAAATAGTAAACTGTTTAAATAAATAAACGTTACATTAAGTTGTCTTACCACATCCAAATGCGAAAAGAACTAAAGTGTAGATGAAGAAGAATTTCACGATATCTATTATCATTCTTCCCAAAGATATTTGCAAGGGTCCTAGGTGAGGATTTACACTGAAGATATGCACCAGTTTCAAGAAACTGAAATATATTTAAAATACGGATTTCAGAATTATAGTTTACTTTAGAATAAACAAATATTTAAAAAAATAATAATAATAAATAAGGCCGCATTCGAACATATGTTTTACGTGTAAACCCTAAAACTCTGAAAGAAGAGTAGGGGAAAACTTGCTAATAATATTAAGCAAAAACAACAGTAGTAGATCAAAAAATTGAAAAGTTTAAAACTAAATCTCGGTGCATATTGACAAGAATAAAAATATAATGAAAATTAAAAAAAAATAATTTTCCAAATTACATTGAATTTAATATAGAATATCATAACCTAATTTAATATAATGTAACTAAAATATCAAATAACTTTAATACATTTTTCACATACAATATTCTAATACAAAGTAATATACAGGTTAGGAAAAAAGTATACAAGCCATAGGGCATAGGCACAGCGAATATATTTTCATCGCTATACTTTACATTGTACGTGGCATACTGTAGAATGCCAACGCTACCACCTCTCCTGCAATCAATTTGACTCACTTTTATGAATCATCAAGTTTTAAGCAAGCTGAGTTTAGTAATGCATGAACTACGGTTATTCTAAGATCCGAAGTAAGGTCGACCTTCACCCATCTGTTTAATGGATGAAAGTGTCTTTTTATTAAATAAAATGTGTTTATAAATATATGGTAAACGGGTTGCCTAAGAAAATATGGTCCACACTATTTATTTTCTTAAAGTAAAAAACGACACCCTGTAAAATATTCCCCAGGTGCTTCGGCTATGCCCAAACTTTAATTAGATCACCGTAGGATGGATTAAAGCTTAAGTTTAAAATTTGGTGTTTTTTTATTTATCCGTTTTTGAGTTATCTTCAAAATTCGAAATTTGCACTTTTCTTGAAATATCTCGAATTAGGTCCATTTTAGGGAAATCATGTATAGGGATAGAATAATAGAGAATGACATTATAAGCAACTTTTATCATGCTTCCTATATTTTCCTTATCTGTACACAGAAGAGAAAGTAAAAAATGGCTGTGACCGTATTTTCCTAGGCAACCCATTTGCGGTAAATCTAAAAACATATTTTATTTAATAAAAAAAAACTTTTATCCATTAAACAGATGGGTGAAGGCCAACATTACTTGCGGATCCCGGACTAGGTGGGATTTGTTTTCCTCTAAATAAATAAATAAAAAGAATAGTTACGTGGATTCCCCTGATTGCGGAAATACAATTAATTGCAAGTGAGAAGTAATTTTCAATACTTAAAATTTTTAACTGTTTTGTAGATAATTTATTAGCTATTATGGCATTTTTGACAATGTTGTAGACATCCAAAACTCATCCATGGAATTACACTCAAAGTAATATTTTAAAATATGTAAGTTTCCTTTTTTAGTGTAAACATAAAATTGTATAAACACTTACATTACTTTCAAACCAAATTACTTACCTGTAATCTGCAATAACATATGTTATCCTGTGGGAGACGGGCAGCATGTTGACCAATTCGATATGCTCTCCTACGTATTACGAATAATAGCACACTTCAGTCTACAATAAATAGAGATTGACGTAACTACAACATATGGCTCGTATACTTTTTTCCTGCATATCTGCATATCATTGATCGGATCTAAATAAATTAAGCTAGTTCTTGGTGTCTTTATTTACTACTAAATAAATACATACAAAATTAAATATTTACCTAAATATCATTCCAGCTGCAAAAGCACCCTCTGACAATAGCATTGGCTCAAATGAATCCCATTCTTCCCTAGGATACCAGGTTAGTTTACCTTCTCTTTCATCTCTCTAAAAAATTTTAAATGTCACATATATTTTGTCTCATTATTATTGCCAATTTTAACATATTATGATGATGGCAATATTTGACAGAAAATACTCTACAGTGAATCTCATATAATTCTCATCTGATTCTATTTAGAATATTATTTAGTGACCCACAAAAATTTCTCAAGTAAAACTTCTTAGGCCGCAGCTAGATATTTGACGAGTAGGCAGTGGTCCGATCCTTAGCGAAAATGGGGAGAGAATTTGTAAGGACTAATAACGTTACACCTGTAACACATATAACCATAATAACATCACGACATTAAAAGAACATTGACTGAGAGCGTATATACGATTTTTTTGTTTGAAAGATACAAGGTGGAGGGGGAGCGGAGAGAAGTGAAGTGAAGAGCGGAAAGCGGAGAGGAGTGGAGACGAAGCGTAGGGGGTGGAGTGGGTGAGGTAGAGTGAGTGGAGTAGAGTAGAGTAAAGTGAGGGGGGATAAAGTGGGGTGGGGTAAAGAGGGGGGTAAAGTGTGTGTTAAAGTGGAACGTAAGAGGGGGTAAGAGGGGTGTATAGTGAAAGTAGAGTGGAGAAGAGTGAAGTAAAGTAGAGTAAAGTAGAGTAAAGTAGAGTAAAGTAGAGTAAAGTAGAGTAAAGTAGTGTAAAGTAGAGTAAAGTAGAGTAAAGTAGAGTAAAGTAGAGTAAAGTAGAGTAAAGTAGAGTAAAGTAGAGTAAAGTAGAGTAAAGTAGAGTAAAGTAGAGTAAAGTAGAGTAAAGTAGAGTAAAGTAGAGTAAAGTAGAGTAAAGTAGAGTAAAGTAGAGTAAAGTAGAGTAAAGTAGAGTAAAGTAGAGTAAAGTAGAGTAAAGTAGAGTAAAGTAAAGTAAAGTAGAGTAAAGTAGAGTAAAGTAGAGTAAAGTAGAGTAAAGTAGAGTAAAGTAGAGTAAAGTAGAGTAAAGTAGAGTAAAGTAGAGTAAAGTAGAGTAAAGTAGAGTAAAGTAGAGTAAAGTAGAGTAAAGTAGAGTAAAGTAGAGTAAAGTAGAGTAAAGTAGAGTAAAGTAGAGTAAAGTAGAGTAAAGTAGAGTAAAGTAGAGTAAAGTAGAGTAAAGTAGAGTAAAGTAGAGTAAAGTAGAGTAAAGTAGAGTAAAGTAGAGTAAAGTAGAGTAAAGTAGAGTAAAGTAGAGTAAAGTAGAGTAAAGTAGAGTAAAGTAGAGTAAAGTAGAGTAAAGTAGAGTAAAGTAGAGTAAAGTAGAGTAAAGTAGAGTAAAGTAGAGTAAAGTAGAGTAAAGTAGAGTAAAGTAGAGTAAAGTAGAGTAAAGTAGAGTAAAGTAGAGTAAAGTAGAGTAAAGTAGAGTAAAGTAGAGTAAAGTAGAGTAAAGTAGAGTAAAGTAGAGTAAAGTAGAGTAAAGTAGAGTAAAGTAGAGTAAAGTAGAGTAAAGTAGAGTAAAGTAGAGTAAAGTAGAGTAAAGTAGAGTAAAGTAGAGTAAAGTAGAGTAAAGTAGAGTAAAGTAGAGTAAAGTAGAGTAAAGTAGAGTAAAGTAGAGTAAAGTAGAGTAAAGTAGAGTAAAGTAGAGTAAAGTAGAGTAAAGTAGAGTAAAGTAGAGTAAAGTAGAGTAAAGTAGAGTAAAGTAGAGTAAAGTAGAGTAAAGTAGAGTAAAGTAGAGTAAAGTAGAGTAAAGTAGAGTAAAGTAGAGTAAAGTAGAGTAAAGTAGAGTAAAGTAGAGTAAAGTAGAGTAAAGTAGAGTAAAGTAGAGTAAAGTAGAGTAAAGTAGAGTAAAGTAGAGTAAAGTAGAGTAAAGTAGAGTAAAGTAGAGTAAAGTAGAGTAAAGTAGAGTAAAGTAGAGTAAAGTAGAGTAAAGTAGAGTAAAGTAGAGTAAAGTAGAGTAAAGTAGAGAAAAGTAGAGTAAAGTAGAGTAAAGTAGAGTAAAGTAGAGTAAAGTATAGTAAAGTAGAGTAAAGTAGAGTAAAGTAGAGTAAAGTAGAGTAAAGTAGAGTAAAGTAGAGTAAAGTAGAGTAAAGTAGAGTAAAGTAGAGTAAAGTAGAATAAAGTAGAATAAAGTAGAATAAAGTAGAATAAAGTAGAATAAAGTAGAATAAAGTAGAATAAAGTAGAGTAAAGTAGAGTAAAGTAGAGTAAAGTAGAGTAAAGTAGAGTAAAGTAGAGTAAAGTAGAGTAAAGTAGAGTAAAGTAGAGTAAAGTAGAGTAAAGTAGAGTAAAGTAGAGTAAAGTAGAGTGGAGAAAACGATAGTGTTTTGAACTCAATGGTGTAGATGAGAGAGCGATTCGTTCTATTTGCGACAAAATTAGGTGTAGGTTAGAAGATGGACTTCTGAAACAATTTTAGGCTGAAGCCTGCAATACATCTGTCTATCTACTTAATCGTTCACCTCATAACAGTATTTTAAATGTCACATCTAAGGAAGCTTGGTCAAAAATTAAACCAGACTTATCAAACCTTAAACTTTTTGGTTGTCGAGCAATTGTTCATAAACCAGATCAATTTTGACAAAAATGGGATTCTAAAAGTAACAAATATCTATTTGTAGGATATTGTAGAGAGTCAGTAGGATATAGAGATGGTAAAGTGACTCGTGCTGGAGATGTTTATTTTCTAGAAAACTCAAAATTTTCAGATAGTCAGTTGCTAGCTAATGCTTTAACATCATCTGTTGTCGTAAGCTTGAAGTCTATTCAGTACCAGCAACCTGCACAAAACACTTCTAAACTGGGTGATGTCAAGTCAACAGGTGCCAAAGATGCTATCTTTGAAGAAGAAGTAAGTTGTAGATATCCTCTCAGATATCGTTTAAATAAAAATCATGTATCTGACGTTCAAGAAACTCATGATCATGTTACTGTATCTAAAGCTCTTAAAGAATCCGACAAGGTCAAATGGTTCCAGGCAATGTTAGAAGAATATAATTCCTTAATTGCTAAAAAAATATTTATGTAAATGGCTATTTAAACAGAAAAATAATTCCGAAGGCAAAATTTTACAATATAAGGCATGGTTAGTTGCTAAAGGGTGTGTACAGAGATATAGTGGACTATGAAAAAACTGTTGCCCCAGTAGTAAGACATAAAGTACTAAGATTGCTTATAGGTCTTACAGCAAAGTTAAATCTAAGTATAGACCATATGAATGTACAAACAGCTTTTCTACATGGCGATTTACCGAAACCGTTTATATGCAACAGCCTGAAGCTTCTGTACAACCTAATTCAGGTTTAAAACAGGGTTCCAGAATGTGGAATATTAAAGCACATACAAAGCACAAACTATACTATTAGAACTAGGTTTAAAACAAAGTGTTTATTACAAAATTTCTGAAAAAAAGGTTTTTTTTTCTTGCACTGTATGTGGATGATTTCTTTCTATTTTGTAATAATAAGGAAGAAAAGTTAACCATTAAGTCAAAGCTAATATTACTTTTAGAAATGAAGGATCTTGGTAAGGCTGCATACTGTTTAGGTATCAGAATTTCCTACAATAATTCAAATTCAGTAAAAAGTGTAAACTCACTATTTCCATTAACTTTTGAAGAAATTTAAAATGGATTAGTATAAATCCATTCACACTCCAATGGAATCAAATTTAAAATTAGTCAAATTTCATGAGGAATTACTTAATGTGTAATTGGAAGTCTCATGTATTTATCCATTTGCACTAGACCAGACATTTCATTCGCTGTAAATTATTTAAGCAGGTTTAATAACAATTTCAGTATAGAACATTGGAATCACGCAAAAAGAATCCTTCGCTATCTAAAAGGTTTAGTGGATCAAGGTTTAGTTTACAAATTTAGTGGCTGTGATCTTACAGGCTTTATAGATGCAGATTGGGGATCTGATGTCGAAGATAGAAAATTTTTAACTCGTTACGTGTTTATGTTTGCTGGAAGCTCAATATCTTGGGGAAGCAAAAAGCAGTCTTCTGTTGCTACATCTAGTTATCAAGCAGAATATGTTGCGTTATCAGATCTATATTTTGGTTCTCTCAGAACTATACAGGGTGAGGCACCGAAAACGAAACAGATCGCATATCTTGAACACATTTTTTTTGAGAAAATGCAAAAAGAGGTCGATTTTTATTTTAAAGGGGACATCTTTCGTTCATATCCTCAACTATCCTACATCCCTCCCCACCCCTTTGTCACTATTACCAATGAAACTGAAATAGGGAAAGTACTTAGTGTGACACATCGTTGAAAAGTTAATTTTATAAGAAATTTGACTGTGTGACAGTTTATTACGTAACTTTTGATTTTGGCGCCATCTTGCGGGAAAACTTTCCGTATTTTAAATAATGATGCTTCATTTAAAAGTAAAACTCATTTAATAGACAATTCATAATAAAAATAAAAAAACATAAAAAGTAAATTGAAAAATTTAGACAACTCCCATAATTAAAAACTAAATTACTTCAAAGTAAATGCTCAAAGTGTTGTCCATTAACTTCCATACACAAATATAAATTATTCTCAAATCTTTGTCTGACGTTTTGGAGTATTTCTGGAGTTATTTGACGACATTCGGTAATAATACGTTCACGTAACTCTTCTAAGGAACCTGGGTGAGTGGCGTATATTTTACTTTTCAGATATCCCCATAAACATTAATCTAAGGGGGACAGATCAGGAGATCGTGGGGCCCATTCAATAAATCCTCTTCGTCCAATCCAATGTCTAGGAAAGTTTTCATGTAAGTACGGACGAACCGCTGCAGCAAAATGTGAAGGAGCCCCGTACGCATATTCGTATCAAGCTCACCTTTTCCGAGTTCCCTCGAATCCGTTCAGGTATGCAGCGCGCGGGAACGCATTGTTTAGGCTTTTCGCGTGGTACTCAGAGTTCGATATAGCAACATATTGACAAGATATGCGCCCCTAAGTAATATTTTTAAATTTATGTGGCATATAATCCAAAACACATTCGCCTTAAAGTTAAAGTAAAAAAATTATTCTACGAAAGTTGTAGAGAATATTTTTCTCTATAATATGACATACAAGGGGTAGTTTTCT